AAATCCAAGCTATTGGGACACCAGATCTAATTGGTGGCACTGGTCACCGTATCCACTGTTAGCGTAACACACCCGCTTTAAGGACACTGACTGCTATTCAATCTATAACAGTGAAAAAAGTGTTTTGCTTTTTAAATCCAAGCTTTGTGTCACCAGATCTAATTAGTGGCACTGGTCAGCGTATCCACTGTTAGCGTAACACACCCGCTTTAAGGACACTGACTGCTATTCAATCTATAACAGTAGAAAAAGTTTTTTGTTTTTAAATCCAAGCTATTGTGACACCAGATGTAATTGGTGGCACTGACTGGGGAAATGGGCACAGTATGCACTGTGAGCCTGACACAGAAGCTGGCGGCAGTGGCAGACAACTGACTGCTATTCAATCTATAACAGTGAAAAAAGTTTTTTGTTTTTAAATCCAAGCTATTGTGACACCAGATGTAAGTGGTGTCACTGACTGGGGAAATGGGCACAGTATGCACTGTGAGCCTGACACAGAAGCTGGCAGCAGTGGCAGGCAACTGACTGCTATTCAATCTATAACAGTGAAAAAAGTTTTTTGTTTTTAAATCCAAGCTATTGTGACACCAGATGTAAGTGGTGGCACTGACTGGGGAAATGGGCTCAGTATGCACTGTGAGCCTGACACAGAAGCTGGCAGCAGTGGCAGACAACTAAGTGCAATTACATTACATAGAAAAAAAAATAAAAAAAAAAGCATACCCTAACCCTAACCTAGCTATGCTTTTCCCTATCTAATGAACAGCAGCTACACTTTCTCTCCTCTTACTAAGCATGCAGCTTGAGAATGAATCTAAAATGGATGCCTTCCAGGAGGTGGGAGGGTCTGCTAGGGAGGGTGTGCTGCTAATTGGCTGGAATGTGTCTGCTGACTGTGAGGTACAGGGTCAAAGTTTACTCAATGATGACGAATAGGGGGCGGGTCAAACCGTGTATATGTTCGCCCGCCGTGGCGAATGCGAACTGCTATGTTCGCCGGGAACCATTCGCCAGCGAACCGTTCGGTACATCACTATTAACAAACAATTTCTTGTCAGTTTCACTATTGGCAATTTCACATTGTGTGTATAAAGATTGCCACAATACAGCATCTGAATAGCTGCTATTAAATGCAAACTGCAATTTACTTTTCTCTGCAATATCATTTATGAATTCCATGTTACTCACCAGATCAGTTATTTCTGTCTATTTAGTTGCTTCATCCACACAACTGCACAGTTCTGGACTTGGATCTGGATGATTGCTAATCTCTGCCACATGCTTGCTTCTAATTCACATTGTATCTTGTGCTTTTTGTCTCAGTTGTAGAAAATAGTCTTGTACAGTCTTTGTGATTTGAAAACTTTCTTTTTCTTACAAACCACAAAATGTTCGCGAACTTTCAAGCCATCCAATCACAGTGCTCTGTGTCATTTTACACAGCGTGGGAAAGTTCTTTTGAATTTTCCCACGCTGTGTAAAATGACAAAGAGCACTCTGATTGGCTTAAACCCACCAATCAGAGTGTTCTTAGCCTAATTGCAGGGCGGGGCAAGGCTTTATAAGCCTTCCCCCGCTCTGCGGAGCTCAGTCTGCGCGGAGCCCTCCATGGGTGAAGATGGATTATTTTTTTGCGCTCAGGTTTTTTCTTTTCGTCGGGTTTTTTTTTTGCGCTCGGGATTTTTATTTTATTTTCAATTCGACGGTTATGATGGTTTTTTTATTTGGCCTTTTTTGGGGCTGAAAAAAGAAGATTTGAGAAAAAAGAAGACGTCGAATGGTAAGTTTAATTTTATTTTACAGGTTAGTTATTTTATCCCCCCCTCACTATTTTTTAGGGTGAGGGGGGTGGGTGACTAGGGGCTTGGGGACCCCTAGTCACCTTGGGGGGGGGGGTTAATTGACTTAGGGCCCCCACCCGCCGCCCAGGGGTGGGGGCCGGGGGGGGGCAGTAGGTCCCCCCCCCATTCTCATTATGGCCCCCACCCGCCGCCCAGGGGTGGGGGCGGGGGGGGCAGTAGGTCCCCCCCATTCTCATTATGGCCCCCACCCGCCGCCCAGGGGTGGGGGCGATAGGTCCCCCCCCTCCTTCTCACTATGGCCCCTCCCGCTGCCCAGGGGTGAGGAGTACTGCCCCCCCTCATTCTCACTATGGCCCCCACCCGCCGCCCAGGGGTGGGGGCCGGGGGGGGCAGTAGGTCCCCCCCCCATTCTCATTATGGCCCCCACCCGCCGCCCAGGGGTGGGGGCTGGGGGGGGCAGTAGGTCCCCCCCCCATTCTCATTATAGCCCCCACCCGCCGCCCAGGGATGGGGGCTGGGGGGGGCAGTAGGTCCCCCCCCCATTCTCATTATGGCCCCCACCCGCCGCCCAGGGGTGGGGGCCGGGGAGGACAGTAGGTCCCCCCCATTCTCATTATGGCCCCCACCCGCCGCCCAGGGGTGGGGGCCGGGGGGGGGGAGGACAATAGGTCCCCCCCTTCCTTCTCACTATGGCCCCCACCCGCCGCCCAGGGGTGGGGGCTGGGGGGGGACATTAGGTCCCCCCCGTCATTATCTTCATGGCCCCCATCCGCCGCCCAGGGGTGGGGGCCGGGGGGGGCAGTAGGTCCCCCCCATTCTCATTATGGCCCCCACCCGCCGCCCAGGGGTGGGGGGAGTACTGCCCCCCCCTCATTCTCACTGTTTAGGGGTGGGGGCCAATAGTTTTTTTTTTTGTTGTTTTGTTTTTTTACAGTGAGCAGCCACAGGCTGCTCACTGTTTAGTGGACATGCCCCTACTCGCGGTATAGCGAGTAGGGGCATTTGGGAGATTTTTATCTCCCTTGTGCTATTATGGGGGTCATATTGACCCCCATAGAGTGAGAGGGGGACCTGGGGGGGCTTATGAAGTGGTGGGGAGCACTGCTCCCTGCCGCTTCTATAGTTACATATTACAAGGAGGGAGCTGCATGCCGGTAGCTCCCTCCTTGTAATAAACTGCACGAACAAACTAACACTGATACACAGTGTTTATTTGTTTGTTCGGCTGATATTTCTATTCACTCATTCGTCTGTCTGATGAATGAGTGAATAGATGAAATTCCCGTTCGCATGTCAAGGTGTTTCACTGGGCATGTGCGGGAATCTCAGTGTCTGCCTAGTGTGGGCTGATGACGTGTCCCTGAGGGACTTCACCTACCCACACAAAGATGGCTGCGCCCTGAATATAGATCGGGGCAGAAAATAAGGATTAAAAAATAGGTAATGCTGGGGGCTTAGGGGCATTTGGGGGTGACTAGTGAGTCAATTGGATGTAGTGGAGGCGGGAGAGGGGTTAAAAAAAAAAACCAGAATTCGGCATGACAGTGCCGCTTTAACATGTATAATCTACATGAATATAAACTCCAATATTCCAGATTAGCATTTTGGCTCCTGGAAAGATCAAAAATAGTAAAAGAAAAGAAATCAAGGGAGATATACTAGAAAAGAGATGCCCTAAAAGCGGCAAGTCCAATTAAGCTCAAACATACATGAGCTTTACAAGACCAAGCCATGAATAAGAAGAAAATCAAATTAGGACATTTTAAAAACCCTGGCAATTATGGCATTATCAGTGCACCTCTAACTCTGATAAAAGGAAAAATAATTAAATACATTATATAAAAAGAAAATCAAAAGAAATCAAAAAGAGGAAAAGGAGTAAGTTATAATTGTTAATGCCATTAATTCTAATAAGATTGAACAGCAGCGTGGCTCCGAGAGAGATTGATAAAGATATACGGCACCTGTCTCTGATTTAGGATAGATACGTGGTAAATAAATCCCAAACAAAGTGAGCCTATGCTTGACACAGAAGTTGAAATTTCTCCCGATGTGGTAATATTTAGATTTCATCTCTACTTAGGAAGTAATCCAACTAAGCAGATATTTTGAGTTTGCCTTTTTGATTACCTAGTCATATTCATACTATAAAAATGTCCAACAAGAGCACACAAGAAACAAAACAACTAAATTTAAGGAAGGATAAAAACAAGAACATTATCAGAAAAAACACTCTCCAATTTCTTCACAGCAGTGGATCCTAAGCTGGACAAAGATACATTTGCAATGGAAGAAAATAATACCCAAGTACAAGATGGAGAAGACCTTGACCAAAATACTGATAATACAAAAGATAACAAAGATCCAAAGAATAGCACTCCAGATTACCTTCAAGAATGCTTTGACAGACATTTTATTAAAATGGAAATGGAATCAAGTACCGAGAGAGGTTGGAAAATCAGACAGCGGGCCAAAAATAAATAAATTCAGCATTAGAATGAAAAATCAAAACTTTTGAATAAAAAGTACAAGACTTGGAGGACAGATCAAGAAGATCTAATCTTAGAATAAGAGGTATCCCAGAATTGATATTGAACAGTCAACTAAATCAATACATGGAAGAATTTCTTAAAGCATTGAATATTCCTAGCAACAATCCATCTGAGCTTTTTCAAAGAATGCACAGGCTACAGAAGCCTTCAAATACACCAATACACCTACCTATAGATGTTATAGTCTGCTGTCATTCTTACAGAACAAATCAACAAGTTATAAAAAAAGGGACAATAAAAAATGGAACAAAAGGTACAGCATATGAGTCTATTAAGGTTTTTAAGATATCTCTTTTCAAGCCAGGCAGCAGAGAAGAGAATTTGCTCCAATGGTGAAAATCTTAAGCGACAACAATATAAAATATATATGGGAGTTCCCAACAAGTCTACAATGCAGCAGAGATGGGAAAAGATAGATTTTTGATTCTCCCACGAAGTTAAACAAGTAGATTCAAGAGCAGAATCTTAAAGGACATTCTCAGTAATGAATGAACTATATACTTGTTGCAGCATTTTTTTTTTTGAATGATACTAAGTTCACAAATATTAAAAATTATTTAACACGGAGAAAGTAGTATTCACTATGGATGTACTTATGAATGGATTTATAAGAGTTTAAAAATGTTTTTGTAATGAAGAATTTAAAGACACATATCACAATATAATACACAGATAGTGGTATATTGGAGATTCACGTGAAATATAGTTCGTATTCAGTTATCACATTTTAATTTCACAAACAGGATGTTGTTGAGCAATGAAATTGTAACATAGGATTGGATTGCCACAGAATTGATACAAAAGTCCATAATGTGTTTTTTCACATATGTAAGATCATTTTTTTGGTTTTGATGATTGGTATAGAATCAAATAGATATTGCACTGATGTGAATTGAAGTCTAATGTATATGATTAGCACAAAAGTTCAAGTTAAATATAGACAAAATAAGGGATATGTTTATCAATGTTGTTAAACTAATATAGAATGAAAAGGAAAAGAAAGGAAAGAGGAAACTTTTTTTTGGTGGGGGTGGGAAGTGTGGGATTGGAGAAGGTGTGAAGGGAAGAAGATACCTGATGTTGATCTCCATCTCCTTCTCTTCCTGCACCCTCTTTTCTAGCTAAATTTTCTTGCTATATTTTCTTGCTACGTTTGGATGACTATATACTAAATGATTGGCTCCCGCTCCAGCCACCGAGTCTTCTAATAGCGCACTCAATCGAATAAGGTTAAGATGACCAAGGTTTGACGTAAGGATAGTAGAGGGTGGGGTTACTTCCTTTAAGATTATGAATGTAAGCGTGTATGTAATACTTGTCTCCAATTCAGTGGAGAAAGTTTTTATGTTGTATGTTTAGTTTTCCTGAGAGATATTAGGATTGCAGCAATAGGTAAACAGGGCTGTATAGGATACGGATAGTTTCAGAAAATGTGCAGGGGATTAACTCTACATTCCCATTAACATTCCCAAAACAGTTTTTTAGAACTAAAATCTATAACGGATATACTGGATGGATGGAAACATATAAAAGAAAAAACTCAATTTAACAAATAAATTGTTGTGTTCCTTACCTCCAAAAATCCCTGAAGGAATTAGCAATAATTTAAATCTAAATAACTGGTATAGTTGTGGAATATATTACATAAAATATATCATTATTGTAAATAAGGTCAAACCGTTTTCTATTTTGGTTAATGAAAAAAAAAAAAAAAAATCTACCTGGGAGAAAACTATTTAATTATTTAAGAATAAGTGGTTTAATTTCTAAGTATCTTCCACGTATTATTTCAGAGGCAGTGGAATATTTAGAATATAACCAATCTAATTTTAAAATGTATATCTCAAAATGTGTACAAATTATCTAAGACGAGCGAAGGCAATAACTGTACTGCAAAAAGAAAATGGGAATGAGATCTAGGCTTAGAACTACATCACCATGAATGGACGCCCTCTCTAGTATTAACATATAAACATTCATGATTTGAATTTGAGAGAGATACAATACAAGATTCCCAATAGACGGTATTGGGTACCAAGTCTAGGCTTAGAACTACATCACCATGAATGGACGTCCTCTCTAGTATTAGCATATAAACATATTCATGCTTTGAATTTGAGAGAGAGAGACAATATAAGATTCACAATAGACGGTACTGGGTACCAAGTAAACTAGCTAAATTAAAGAACTGTGTAAATCCAGATCCAAAGTGCTTGAGATGTTGTATGCACTTAAGCACTTTTATCCACATATGGTGGGCTTGCCATCTGACAATCCTTTACTGGGAAGAGGTCTTCCTGTTTATAAAACACTTTGTGATATAGAGATTGATAGATCTCCAGAAGTAGCGTTGTTACATATTAATCTCAATACTGTGCATAAAAATGTATCTTCCTACAATCCTTTACATTCTTACAGCAGCCAAACTAATGGTTACTAGGAAATGGAAAACTGCTAGTTTGCATCAGTGTGACAGACTATATGAACAGATTATTTGGCAATGTAAAATGGAGTTAGGCTGTGCAAGAACAGAAAATTGGAACTCAAATACGGTTACAATGTGGTTATTTTGGATGCGCATATATAGTTATAAGAATTAGGACCTGCTAGTGATAAGAATCTCTCTAACCTTCTATCTCTATGTGTAATTTTTGTATGTAGAATCTGTTACAGATATATTATGGCAACTATTTTTTATTGGAACGTTTAACGGATCACCTGGCACCCCGACTGGGTACCTCCGTTGAACTCCAAGCACTGCAGCAGACACCACAACCACCAAACTGGAGAAGCATACAAATGCTCTCAAGCATATGAATGCTATAAGCAGCTGAACAGGAAAAGCATACAATCAGCTTACACTCCTGGCAATCAGCATACAATCCAATTCCCCCAATAACGAGACGACACTTCGTTTTGAGGTCAAGCAGAACTGACTGTACTGGCACATACAGCATCTTTTATTCCCAATCCACAAACATAGTACTGCCCACAGGGTTTTGAAATACAACCAATCAATCCGTACAATACAAACAGACACTCCCACACAAAATCCTTTCCAGAGAAATACATACAGTTTTTACAAAATATTAATAACTTCCAAAATATACATGCCATTCCCATAAAACATACATTTTCAGAATCCACATGCTTGAAATATACACATACTCAAAAATCAGGGCAATCGGTTCAGGGGTTAAAAAGTTAAGGGAAAGTCCTATTTGACAAAATGAAGCATGGTTTTTCTGCCCAAAACCAGTTCCACAGAGTCTTCTATCCTGGAGATAATTGGGAAGTAATACAATTATCTCCAAGGACAGAGGCAAAACTCCATTAGCCACATGTTAGCAAAATACAATAAAATACATAAAAATATATAACTGTGCAGCGATTGCATAAAACGGGTACATTCAACATATCTCCAGATAGCTCAGATCTGAGCGCAAATTATTACTGAATGGCGCTCAGATCACATACATACAGTTCAATTGCCATGGAGCCAAAGTCTTTCACATAGTCTTTCGTTATACGAATGGGCTCCATGGCATAGCTATCTGGGGTAACAGATAGGGAAAGTACTGAATGACCCGGCTTTCGGGTCTTTGCAGGGGAAAATCCAGCATTTCAACATGGGGCCATAGTCACAGGGCAGGAGGCTGGCAATCAGTCTTCTCCAATGTCCAGTGGCGAAGCTGGTTCCGCCACAGAATGTTGTTCTGGTTTGTCAAGTATTGTATGTATTATTTGAAATAAAGAAAACATTTATAAAAAAAAAAATCTTAATTTCTCACATTTTTATATTTTATTCATATTAAATTATGTCTAATATATAAATATTTGACGTAGCATTAAAGCCTTATTCCTCCTGAACAAAATTATATATACTATGTGTGGGTGCATTTAATCTGATAGAGGTGAATTATGGTTGAACAGACACGTAGAGCAAATGCCAGGTGCCCATTTGATTGACCTGATATGCCTGTGCCCATTTGAGCGGCCTGCTATGTCTGTACCTTTCTGACTGGCCGGTTCTATCTGTGCCCTTCGTTGGCCTGATCCATCTGTGCCCAAACCCCTTTTGGCCACAGGCCTGGGAGAATATCACTGAGGGAAGCTCAGTACCCACTATGAACATGGAGATAGGTGGGTGTCCAGGCAAGCATGGCAGCCATACTATCCGAAAGGACACCAGTATACAGGCACCTACGTATGCTTGGAAGGGTAAGGCCCTAAACCTCATGCCCTGAGGGGCAAAACTTATGAAGATCCCCGGGCATGCAACCACGGTTTCTTTGTTTTCGTGCCTCCCTATTTTCCTTTCGCTCGGGTCGTCGAGAGGCCTGACTTGACCTCCTCTGACACCCAGGGCTCTTGTGGGTCATGGAGAATGTCTCCAGCTTTCCTCAGGCTACCGACGGTCATCCTGGATCGCACAAGCGCATTGCTTCCTGCGGTTGCTTTCTCTCATCAGCCCTCCTGTTATTTAAAGATGGACACGTCCCGAGGTTGTAGAATATCCCACCTACCATTGGTCTGGTTTATTTCCAGTTGATTCCACCTCTCAGGTGAGTTATTCAGAGAGAGGGACCCTTCTCAGGATCTCAGTCCTATGCGGATATTCTTAAAGGGTGAACCCTGCAGTTTGTCACCCTGAGTCTGATAGGGGCTCTAGTTTGGCGAGTTCGGCCCTCCATCGCCTCAACCCGAGACTGATTCTTTTATTTGCACGAGTAGAGAGCGAACCCCTCTCATATACTGAACCGGACACGGATTCATTATTAGAAGGCGCAGCCAGATACTGAGAGGGATAAAGAGCACAGCTTTTGAGTGTGACACATTGTCATGGAAGGAACCGGACACGGACGTAGACTATTTATTGGTAGTTAACGGGTGCGGCCCGCTCATGCTATCAGCCAGATGCTGACACAGAGTTTGGTTACATTATTAGAGAGTGCGGCCCTCTCATACACTCAACACACTACGGTACCGTCCAATTGTTCATCACACAGGCTTGTACCTGTACAGGACAATGATGACTGCATAGA